ACTTAGATTTTCTACAAAAGTAATACAGTGCATTAGAATTGGTCTTTGGGACAATAGATTTTGGAAAATCTATTCAGAGAATTGTTTCTCATTGTCATTGCAATTAAGTGGGACAACGCATATCAGAACAAGCAAACATGAATTGCAGAATGAATTGTTAGTATATGGAAATATTTCATTTAATTGTTAATAGATTTGTAAGTGGGTGTCTTCAATTCCATTTTTGAAACTAATGATCACTTCGCCTTACACTTAGATCATTATAACATGAGTTTGTTTGCATAATGTCCAAAATGGAGAACAGTCTTTTGTTCACCCCAACCCTACCCATCTGTATGTAAAACCTCTGTTCTGGAAATGCACTTGTTCATGGGAAATGCAGATGAAGGGGCGGGAGTCAATTTCTGTGTTAGAGGAGAGCATCGTATTCAACTAAATAGGTGTGGAAAGCATGTATATTTTAAAACGTTACCTGCATTTTCAGCTACAGTAACATTTTAATACAAATCCATTCATTGTGAAAGCAAACAGGAAACTGCTGTGCCCTGAATGAGATAATTGACTCCTATAGTCACTGTTATTTTTTTTTTGGTAAGCAATAACTCCTCATAATTTGAGATTAAAAACCTCTCCTTACCCTGCCTGCCCTGATTTTTGCAAACTGTTTAAATGGCAAGTTTTAATTGCAAGTTCTGCTGTGTACAAAGTTGTGTCCCTTCTGTCACAACCGAAGTATAGCTTCTTGATATTATAGTAATGGACTATGGCTCATGTATGTAGTGATGTCCTTCTACTGTGTGATGTGATTGACATTCATAATAAGAATGTCTAGTTTAAAACACTGGACAAATTCCTCTAGCTAATTGAGGCAGAACTACGTATAGTCTATGCAAGAGACATCTTTATTTACAAATGTAACTTACAGTAGTACTTAAAAGTTTATGAATTCTTTTGGATGTTCAATATTTCTGCATAAATTTGACCTAAAATGTGACCTGTTTTCTGCACAGGTCCTAAAACTAGATAGAGCATCCAAATAAACAAATTAAAAAAACCATCATACTTGTCCATTTATTCACTAAGGAGAATGATCCAGAAAACAACTTGAAGAATAACAAGGGTTGGCGCCATATGGACATTAGAGGTAATGTTGTTCCATAAAGTAGAGACATCAACAAATGAGACATACTTCACATCTATGAACATGACGCAGAATGGAATGAGAGAAATGGGAACATCTGTAGTTTGATTGGCTGTTCATTGAGATGAATCTAAATTTATTAGGATCAAATCCAATTTATTACTCATCACATCTGTTTGTTCAGACCAGAAAAAGATGCAGCTGCTTTATTGCTTCAAAAGAAGGCTGTCAAAAAATATCGCTTTCAAAATTTTTGAAGAGCCTTGGTTTTGAACTTCCATGGCTTCAACATATGTTTATGTTTATTTGTTACATTTATTGGACACCCACCTTACTACAGGGCAACTTTGCTCAGCTTATAAAGTTAAAAATAAAACTACAAAACCTATACAAATAAAATACTATAAAAATACAAATACTTAATGTTTGTAAGCATACGAGTAATAAATGTTAAAATCACAAATGATTCCATCTTAGTGATTGTAAAATTAAGTATTTTACTTCTTTTTGTGCTGCAGAATTTGGATTTGTAGCCTGGGTACAGAAATTTTATTTATTTATTTTGGGTAGAGCACCATATAAAGCAGAATACAGATAACAGCAATAGAAATTCAAAAACACAATAAGAGAAATGAGACATAACATTGTGATTTTCTAACATGATAATTGGCCCTTCCTGTGTTCCAAGTGAAGAGGAACCTGTTTCCACATCAGTGAATATTCTATGAAAGAATCAAATGGAGGCATTTGACTAACAACAGCACTTAGATTTAGGCAGATAGAAAACTTTGATAGTTATTTTCTTATCCAAAGCAAAGCCTGGATTAGCTGTCTCATTTCAAAGAACAATTATTCTTCTGTGGCTAATCAGTATCTGATAATGAATAGGCAGAAGTTAATGTCCCAGCTTTTATAAAGCATAGCGTTATATTAGTATTTTTGTTACTCTTGAGTCATTAAAGATATCTGATGACGAGATGGATGAATAGTAATCTTTTTTAGCTACAGTAGTTTACACAATTGGAGCAGATTCTTAAATGTTTATTCAGTGACATAAAATTATCTCTTTTACAACTTATCAAACACTCTATTTTTGAAGTTTTTAGTATTTAATCAATGAATAAGTTTTGTCATTTTGAATTAAATCAAGGAAATTATGTTTAAGGTAAGATATGATCTTCTGAGGTGGTATGAATAATGGGGAAACCTAATTCTGGAGTTGAGGGATCTATTTATTCCTATCTCCAGTTTGAAGTTAAGAAATCATTGGAAAATTCCTTTATGATGTCACTTCTACAACGATATGACCCTATCATAAATCAGCTACAAATGTTAACAACAAATGTTTCTGTTACTTATTAAATATTCCTACTCACTGATATTAGTGTGATATCACTGATATCAGAATGCTTTTTATAAATATCCTTGAATCACAACTTCTGGCCTTTGAAAGATGTAGCATTGGTTTTCTTACCAGACAACCTAACTGGTTGTTATCTGTTTGGCATCCTGTATATATTTATCCAGAAGCATTACAGCTGCATCTGTTTGAGAAGATTCTTCTCAGTCCTTCTGGGAAAGTATGACTATAGAAATTATCTTATCTTGGTAAGGAAATGCCAGAGTTGTAAAGTAAATAGCAAAGATGGAATCTTTTCTGTTTTCTTTTGACATCCTTATAAGGTTTGTGCCTCATAGTCAAGTAACAGAATACTGAAAGCAGAAGCCTGCTAAATTAGCATCTATAGTGCAATATACATATGAGGCTAAGGAAAATAGTAGGATGGATTGTACTGGGGGAGGTAGACATAGTGATTTATTATTCTAAGATAAAATGTGATTTGACTGTGCTTGGCTTAGCATGTGCAATGAATTCAGCCATTATTGTCTACAAATCATTGTTTTTGTTTTAGCATGAAGTGTGTTAATAACAGTGACGTGCGGTGAGGTTTATGCCTGGTGAGGCTCAGCTGGGCATCCTTTTGCAAAGCCTCGGCAGTGGGGGGGGAATTTGCGGCCTCGGCGGTGGGGGGGCACTTTGCATCGCGGGAGCCGCCAAGCGCCCGGGTCTGCAGCAAAGGCGCTTGGCGGCTCCCATGATGCAAAGTGCCCTGCCGCCCACCCGCTGACCCGGCCTGCGGCCGCTGCTTCTCCAAGCTCCGCCACTTGAAGTCTCGGATCGCCTCTGGGGGAAAGCTGAGTGAGAAGTGGAGCGAAGCTTCTCCGTGGCCTCCTGGCGCTGCGCAGAACTGGCTCTTGTAAGGAAACTCTGGCTCTTGTAAGGAAACCCCCATCTAAGCGTTTTGTGGCTGGCTGAAATGCGCGGACATTTCCAGCCACCCACAGGGGGACTAGGATTTAGATTTAGATTTAGATTTA